GTCACAACCCAGTTGAGTTCAGTCATTCCACCCCATGCCGAGAAATCATGGAGAACTACGTCAGCGGTGATTTCGGAAAGGTACATCTAGCAGATGATGAAACCTTGAAGATTGTTGGCAAGGGAGACATTCGATTAAAATTGCCAAACCAGACTACATGGAAGCTGCAAGGAGTAAGACATATTCCTGGTCTTAGAAGGAATTTGATCTCTGTGGGACAGCTTGATGGAGAGGGTTATTGTACAACCTTCTCGGGTCATGAATGGAAGATTACCAAAGGAGCACTCGTCATTGCTCGAGGTAAGAAAAGTGGTACTCTCTATATAACCTCTAACTTAGAGAATATCATTGCAGTAACAGATGCAGATGAAAAATCAAACCTATGGCACCAAAGGCTTGGCCATATGAGCGAGAAAGGGATGAAGACACTTCTGTCAAAAGGGAAGCTGCCGGATCTGAAGAATGTAGATGTCGATCTATGCGAAGATTGCATCTTTGGCAAACAGAAAAAAGTCAGTTTTGCAAAGATTGGCAAGACACCCAAGACAGAAAGGTTAGAATTAATTCATACCGATGTATGGGGACCATCTCCAGTTTCATCTCTTGCAGGCTCACTATACTATGTCACCTTCATTGATGATTCTACAAGGAAGGTGTGGGTTTATTTTCTGAAGAAGAAATCAGAAGTCTTTGATACCTTCAGAAAATGGAAGGCCATGGTGGAAAATGAAACTGGTTTGAAGATAAAGAAGTTGAGGTCAGACAATGGAGGAGAGTACAAAGACAGTAGATTCAAAGAGTTTTGTGCAAACAATGGGATCAAGATGGAGAAAACAGTTCCCATGACACCGCAGCAGAATGGCGTAGCGGAGCGCATGAACAGAACTTTGAATGAACGTGCCAGAAGCATGAGGTTACATGCCGGCTTGCCCAAGTTCCTATGGGCTGAAGCTATCAATACCGCAGCCTACCTAATCAACCGTGGACCCTCAGTTCCCTTGGATGGTGGAATACCGGAAGAAGCTTGGAGCAGAAAAGAGGTAAACCTTTCACATTTAAGAATTTTTGGTTGTATCTCTTATGTACACATAGATTCTGCTGAAAGAAGTAAACTTGATGCCAAATCTAACAAATGTGTTTTTGTTGGTTATGGTGGTGATGAGTTTGGTTACCGATTTTGGGATTATGAAAATCGGAAGATCATCAGAAACAGAGATGTCATATTCAATGAGAATGTGATGTACAAAGACAGATCAACTGCAGAATCAAGTAGCTCCAGTACAAAAGCTGAAACAAAGGAATTTGCTGAATTTGAGGAGATTTCTGAAAAGGATGTTCAGACTAGCCCTGAAGCAGTTCAAGAAGAACCAAGCACGCCAGAAGTGAGACGCTCCTCCAGAATTCCTAAGCCAACCCAGCGTTATTCGCCTTCTTTGCACTACCTGTTGCTGACTGACAGTGGTGAACCGGAGTGTTATGACGAAACAATACAGATGAAAGATTCAGTCAAGTAGGAGTCTGTTATGCAAGATGAGATGGACTCGCTCATGTCAAATCAGACATGGGACTTAGCTGAATTACCACAAGGTAAGAAAGCTCTTCATAACAAATGGATTTACAGGATCAAAGAAGAACATGATGGGAACAAACGCTACAAGGCAAGGTTGGTTGTCAAAGGCTTTCAGCAAAAGGAAGGTATCGACTACAATGAAATTTTTTCTCCGGTTGTGAAACTAACTACAATCAGATTAGTGTTGAAAATTGTAGCTGCTGAGAATTTACATCTTGAGCAGTTAGATGTAAAAACAGCTTTCCTTCATGGTGATTTGGAGGAGGAGATCTATATGAAGCAACCAGAAGGCTTCATGAAGGCAGGCAAGGAAAATCTAGTATGCCGTTTGAAGAAGAGCTTGTATGGATTGAAACAAGCTCCCAGACAGTGGTACAAGAAGTTTGACAACTTCATGGGCAGCAACGGTTTCACTAGATGCCAAGCAGATCATTGTTGCTATATCAAGAGGTTTGACAATAGCTTCATTATTTTATTGTTATACGTTGATGACATGCTCGTTGCAGGATCAGATCTGCAAGAGATTATAAATTTGAAGCAGAAATTGTCAAAGCAGTTCGCGATGAAAGATCTTGGTGCTGCAAAGCAGATTCTTGGAATGAGGATCAAGAGAGACACGAAGTCTGGGATTTTGATGTTATCACAAGCTGAGTACATCAACAAAGTACTCTCCAGGTTCAACATGCAAGATGCAAAACCAGTGGGTACACCTTTAGGTGTTCATTTCAGACTCAAAGATCAGTCACCAAAGACAGGGAACGAGGCGTGCACACATGGGGCGAAGGTCCCGTACGGCCTTCAGCAATTGGAGAGTCATGATGTTATGCCATGGTCTGTACAAGACCGGATATTGTCAAGGCAGTGGGAGCTGTTAGGCTAAAGGTATATGAATGATCCGGGCAGGTACACTAGGGAAGCAGTCAAATGGATGCCTGCAGATATCTACGGGGAGATACAATACTAACAGGCTATGTAGATGCTGATCTAGCAGGAAATGTTGATATCAGAAAGAGCACTACAGGGTATGTATATACTCTAGGAGGTACTGCAGTGAGTTGGGCTTCTCAACTGCAGAAGATAGTTGCTCTCTCCACAACTGAAGCAGAATATGTCGCTGTTACAGAAGCCAGCAAGGAAATGGTGTGGCTTCAAAATTTCTTGGATGAATTAGGCAAGAAACAAGAAGACAATGTCTTATACTGCGACAGTCAAAGTGCTATTCATCTAGCGAAGAATCCGTCTTTTCATTCCAGAACGAAGCACATACAGATGCGGTATCATTTTATCCGGTCACTTCTGGAAGATGGAATTTTGAAGCTTGAAAAGATCAGTGGAGCTCAAAATCCGGCAGACATGCTGACAAAGACGGTGACTATTGACAAACTGAAGCTGTGTTCAGCTTCAGTTGGCCTGCAATAGTATAAAGACCGGGAAGAGCTGCTGCATAGATCGAGGTGTGAAGACAGATTAAAACCAGTCTTCAAGTGGGAGATTGTTAGTCAAAAATGGTGAGCCACCGAAAAGCTTCAAGCCACCAAAGTTGACAAAAATGCAGACAATCCTCAAATCACCGAATTCGGTGAATGACAGGGGAGAAGAAAAAATTGTACGTGGGCCCCACCGGCGGGCCCCACCAGTATTAAAATATTAGTGCATAGTGTCTTTCCAAACACTATAAATAGGTCCCCAATCTCTTAAGGAAAACTCATCCCAGAAACAACTCCTCTTATAGAAGAACAAGAGAGAGAAAAGAGAGGCTTAGAGAAAAGTCTTTGTGAGAAAATTGTGAGCAATTTTCAGAGTGGGATTGAGTTGTGAGAAAAATTGAGAGTGTTGTAAAATTTCTCCCAAATAGTGAAAGATCTGCAGCAGCCCGTGGACGTAGGCAATTTTGTGCCGAACCACGTAAATCTTGCGTGTCCCCCAATTTTGCGCAATTTATTTTTCGCTCTCTCTCAAATCTGGCAATATGGGAATCCGGGTAATTTCCCAACAAGATCTCCTGACGAGATCTATCCAGGAGGGGGGGGGTGTAGAATATTCATGTCATCAACGAGAAGAAGGGATAGAGCCTTTCATAATGCAAGGGAAAAGTGATATATATATACGATAGTAACTTATATATTATCGCACCATACGTCGAGTTAGTTGTGCATGACTTCAGAATATGACATAAATCTCCTATATATCTATCATTCATGTAAATAATATTTTTTTTACCTACAGGAAGAATTGGCAAAAAGGAAGTTGCATGCCATTTTATAAAGTGAAAGTCCTGTTAAGCTTTCGCTAGAATGATTCTGAATTTCAAAATTGTTTCAGGATGGTTCTAAAATTATGATTTTCATTTTTGTATATGAACCACAATTGGCTCATCAAAAGTGCATCAATCTCGAATATGAAATTATCTCTTGTTTTTAGTTGTTTCTTGTTGGTATACTGACTTTTTCTTTTACCTAATGTATTATGGCTTATAATGTCCTATTATGTATGCTAGCTGGGCTGCTTCCTGCTTTACAAATCCATAATTGCAAACAGGTAGTTCACATGTTCTTTGTCACTGAGGTCTTTCAAATATTGAATAAGGTAAGTGCACTCTCTGTCTTCGTATTTTTTTAGCTCTCATTCGATTCCTATTCCAATTCTTAACAAGTTCATTGTAATTAACATAACTTCATTCAAACTAATCAAGTATCTGATTCAATTAAATTGCTCTGGAAAAAAAATGTGATTATGTTAGTATTCAACATGTAAATGAAGGATATCTAATGGTTTATGCTTAGAAACATGTACCACTATAAACATATAAAGTAAATTATCATAATTCAACTATTATATATTTTATGAATAATGAGTAAACAAATAAACATGGTACACATATGCCTCGTCAGAAATTCTAATGTAATAATCCAATAAGGCCAATACCCCATGAGTAGACACATGTCAATCACCAAATTTGTGGGCTTGTGGTAAGCACAAGTCCCTTTTAGTTTGCAGTCAAGTGGTGCAATATTAAATCCTCATGAAGGAGGTCACGTTGAGCCTCAGTATAACTAATTCTTACACCTGTATTTATCATGAGATGCATGCACCAAGTACTCAGAGGATGCAAATAAAGTTTTCCCAGATATGCAAATATAATGTGTATCATACATCATGAATAATTATAATTAATTAGAAGTATAGGCTGTTTCTGTACATTCCATGCCTAAAGTTTAAAGAGACATTATACTTGTTTTTCGAATAGCATCAACTTCTCCTCAACTATAAGCTTTTCAAGAGAACATTTCAATGCATTTACCATGTAGCGTAGCATCACATGTACAAAAAATTTATAAACACAATTCTCTTCATGAGCTAGGAATTCTAGATGTAACATATGTATCAATTTCAAAGATTATAAACTGCAGGAAAGGGGATCGCTACTTACAGTCAGTTGTTCTTAAATAGGCAAAATGCAACCCTGGAATTCTGCTCTCAAATTCCTGCAAGTTTTTTCAACATATGATCATCTATTTACCTCAATATAGCATAACCAGGTCTAAGTATATTATTTTCCAACTCTAAATCCACAGGTTCTGTGGTGACAAATTTTTTTTTAAGTTTGGACTTCGTAGGTATTCTTTCTGATCCTGATCACTGCAAATGTCAGATGAAAAGAAATATTATTTTCTACTCATATTAGATTATATTTCTGACTTGTGTTACAGGCATTCACAGAAAGCTGAGAGGAAGAAGATTTAATCATTTATGTACTGGCTCCAAGTCCTTTGCCATTGTTGAAACAAAACCAATGAAAAAATGATATCCACATGCATATTATAGATTGTTTTTACATGTCACATATAAACTAACCCCGTTTTGATCAAGTAAGAATTGAAGAAATATTTATAGGATCAAGTATAGGTTGTTTTACATGTCGGAAAATGAACTAACCCCATTTCAATTAAGTCGACATCAAAGAAGTATGCCATACTGTCGGTGCTTCTAAAAATGATGTCATGTGACTAAGAAAATGATTACATGCAAATCCTTAACTGACTAATATAAAACTATCGGAAAGTAAATGCATAAATTATAAATAACGATAAGCATTAAAAACATGGAGAGTTTTCTTTTCAGTTATTTTTCTCCTGTTTTCTATTGTGAAGATAAGCTAAGCTACTTCCGGAAGGATTTGGACCCAAATCCAAGGTTTTAAATGTCGGATGTCGGGTTCATGTCGGATGGCTGAAATCCATGTCGGATAGCGGAAATCGGGGATATATCGGGGGACATTGACTAAATATCGGATTTCTATATCGGGTAGTGCGCATATGTATAATATCGTGTCCTAAATATAATCTAAGCATTCATAAATTCAATATAAGCATACTTTATAAAATTCTATAGACTAAACATATAAAAAAGTAAATAATATATGGATTTAGGTTCACAAATTCTTTCTATCGGGTTCATAAGAAAACCTTAAACATGAGAACGGGTCAAAAGAGTTTGAGTATTTATCACTAAACCCAAACCCCATAACAAAAAACAGATCTTAAAAAAAGTACCATATCGGTCGATTTTTCAAAGCTAAAAAATAGGCCGATATGCCCGATATGACCCTGATATTTCTGATTTGGTCCTGAAAACCGACATACAAGTTGAAAACGTTCATGTCGTGTCGGTCAAGCCCTCAAACCGATATGTCGGCCGACATGTCGGACATGTCGGGCGACATTTAAAACCTTGCCCAAATCACTCCCATTCAAATTCAATTGTATATCTATTCAACATTCATACGATAGTTCCATTTTGTTAATAGCTAATCTACATTGTCTAGAATGTCTACAAACAAAAAGATAACTAATTTAAATTATTTTTTGATCATGCATCAAGAGCCGCATATGAATGGCGTAAATAGCAAGTTAGTGAGTTTGAAAGTGAATGATGTTGTGACACCTAACTCAAATCTGCGTATAAGAATTTTTAAGTCTTTAGACCAAAACCAAGTATTTAGATTGAAAATTTTAAACCCTAAAGCGTATAACTGAGCAGAATATCATTTTTTACCATCTACTTTGTCCTCGATGCATGGACGAAAAGAATCTGAAGTGCTTTATTTTTAAAGTGAAAAATCTCAACCGCATAAACTACACTGATTTTTTGCCCAGGAGAATTCAAAAGGTTGCCTTGGAATTACATTAAACTAACATTCATGGGCAAAGATAGGTTTATGTACTGTAGGAGATTACTTAAAATTTCACCTTAGGCTTAGGCAGACTATGTATTAGTTTGTAATACGTCAGGAGTTCAGAATATAGGAGAAACAAAAGATGAAGTATAATTTCCCGTGTTAAGGTACAAAAGGTCAAAGTGATGTAAGAAGATGAAACAAAAAGTAAGGGTAGGGGTGATATCAACATGTGGCATACTAGCTCAGTTAGAAGAACAGTTGTGATCCTTGAAATCTCATGAGAATTGAACAAAACCACATGAGAATCAAAATAAGAAAAAAAAATGTAAGAGAGAAACCTTTAAGAGATTATTCATAGCCCCAGGTCAGATAAAAGCATCATGTGAACTCAAATTGGGACTAAAACAAGGATGCATAATGAGACGCAGAACTCTAAATCCTGGCAGATCAGATATCATGCAGCCAGTCTTCTACGACCAAAAACAGATTTGTAATGAAGTCTGACCCAAGGTATGCTTACAGAAGGTTTTCTGATGACCAGACAAAAGTAGTACAGTCTGATTAATTAATCATTCTAAATTATAGTTAGATATTATCGGCCATGTTGTCTATTTAGAGTAAACACATTTCGGAACACGTGAACTTCAAATACCTTAACGTTACATGTATGTAAAATCTGTTATCCAATATGAACTAGGGAGCCATTTTTTACAGTTCACTATGGTGAACTGAATCGATAACAATAAAGTTTTTTTTTAATAGGACTTTCAGATATCTCTTATAGTATCTCCTTAGTTCCCAATATTAGTCTCAGTCAGGCTTAAAAGTAAATCATACAATAACTGAAGGCAAGAAAAGCACAGAGCAAGTGCATGTTTAAGGACTCGGATTAAACCTTGTCTAGATTTCTCTCTCCCCTTCTCCACCTAAAGACAGCAAAGGAAGTACAGCATGTGCATTGTAAGATTCACGTTATAGACATCCACATAATGGCATAGATATCTGTATCAAAACTCTGGGAACATGAATAAAATTATCAGTAAGAGGCCAACGGAAGCAAACATGACCTCTTAACATTCCGGATTTCACTTTATATGTCATCAGAATTCATGGCTTTCCAAAATGAATCAAGGGAATGAATATCGATATCACTGACTTACCTCTTTCACTTAGAAATGGTGCAATGTCTCTCTTCTTACTTGCACAGTCCACCTCATTACTCCTCTGCTATCCAAAAAAGGACATTTGGAAGAACAAGTTGGCAACAGAAGTCCAGTCAGAGGCACCTTGATCAAGCTAAAATTATCTGCCACTGCAATCAGATAAGATTGCATTAGCCATTTGTAATAAGAGCTATTTGCAGATGACATTCAAATGCTGATTTGTTAGTACAATATTGGACTGTTGTGCTTCATCTATATCTATGAATGTGATTCCTATCAAAAGGAATCAGTAGTCAACGCACAAGAAGATTGAAATTTAGCTAGATGCATTTTACAATGTAGACATATTATAAGATTATGAGGTTTACCACTGTTTTAAAACTCTATCGGAAGATAACAGCAACCAAGTATTCCATTGTTTTCATAACAAAAATAATTTGCAGAACTTCCAATTTTAGCCAATACAACAAACATGGTGTCTTCCAGTTCAGTGGATAAAAAGACCAGAACCACAGAAGAACAGCGGCTGAATAGACACAAACAGGAAAGCAAATGAACAATTCTACATATACTGTGGAGGGACTACTATCAAGGGCAACTACAAAGTTAATCAAGGAAGGAACTTGGACATAATTAGTCCTATCAATGGTAATTATAAAGTTAGTCAAGAAAGGAACTAGGACATATTTGCTAACGCAGTTTGACACATGCCTCCACCAAAGATAATGACAGAATTTTTCTTCCCTAATTTGATATTAACCTTTCTCATTCTAGAATATACCAAGTTTATACCTTATTTTTGCCATCATATAAGTTGAAAAAGATTACATTGTAAGTTTACCTTTATAATATCATGGTCTCTCAAATCCATGTTGTAGGTAGAGAGCATTATCTCATGCACATTACAGCTCTAATATTATCATTTATGTACTCAAAAACACTGTTATTCATATCCTAGATATAACAAGATTTTCCTTGCACAGCGGTATCATGTCTATGTTATCCAAAGCTTGCATACATCTTACATCGTGCTTACTTACCCATCATCAACATACTCCATAGAAGTTAATTCCCTTAGAAGATCAATATTACCCTTACATCCTCCACAAAACGCCTGAACTAGAGCACCCCATCCCTCTCCATCCAACACCATCTTCCTCTTCTCCATCTCCTCCAAAACAAAACAAGCATCACTCACCCTCCCATCCTCACAAAGCCCCACAATCAAATCCCTAAAACTCTCCCCACGAGGGCAATGCCCACTTGAGAGCATCGCGTTCAAAACTCTCAACCCCATATCAAACCTCCGCGCCCGACAAAATCCATCTACCATCATCCTATACACCGCCGCTCTCACCTCAACCCCTTTCATCTGCATGTCCACAAACACCTTATATGCCTCATCAACCCTCCCTCTGCCACACAAATAATTGACCAAGATGCTATATATAACCCAATCTGGCTTCATCTTCCTCCTCTTCATCTCTGCCATCAACTCCCTCATCCCCTCAAAATCCCCTCTCCGTCCGCAATCACTCATCAAAACCCCATAATTTCTCACCTCAGTCTCGCACCCTTGATACTCCATATCAAACATCAATTTCCTCGCATCCCCGTACCTCCCCTCCGCGCACAGCCCCTCCATCAAAATCCCATACGTAACTGCATTCGGCTCAATCCCCTTCTGGGTCATCTCCTCCTTCAACCTCACCGCCTCACCCAACTCCCCGCTCCTACCCACAAACCCAATAAGCATATTATAACTCACAACCGAAGGCCGAACACCTCTCTTGCACATTTCATCAAACACCTGTCGTGCAAGGTCAAACCCATCTTTTTCCATCACCCCCTTGAGTAGTATATTATAAGAAACAACATTGGGTTTGATTTTTGTGTTAGAGAGGATCGACTGGGCTTCATCGACGAGCCCATTGTCAACGAGGGCGTTAAGGAGGAAATTGAGGGTCTGGGTTTTGGGGGAGGAGAGGGAGTTGAAGAGGGAAAGGGCTTCTTGAGGGAGGTGGGCGCGGCCGTAGTGGTGGAGGAGGCGAGTGAGGAGGTGCGGGCCGGAGAGGGGTGGACGCGCGTGGGCCCTAGCGAAGGAGAGGAGGGTGGACACGCTGGCGCGAATAGTGGGGCCCGGGCGGACGGCGGCTGGGAGGAGGGAGGAGACGGTGGGTAGGTGAGTGTCGGGGCGCGCCGCCGGAGAGGAGTATGGGAGAGGGCTGCGGCGTTGGGCGTCGGGGTGGATTTTGAGCTCATCGAGCGAAGGGATAGGCTCTCCGCAGGGGGCTTTATGGGTTTAGGTCCGGATTCGGGTCTGCGTTTGCTAACGGGTCTGCGGCGGAGTCCGGTCCGGATGTTACGAGCTCCGGCGAACATTTCGCTGGGGAACCGGTGGTAAAAGAAGCAGCTGTTTGTGAGTGAGGTAAAACGGGCTAGGCTCCGGTCGGCTCCTCCACATGGCTTTTTCCGATATCGGCTCTCTAATCTTTTCAGATTGTGAAATCAGTCCCTCAAATAACTAAAATTCCTTGCGGTCCAAATTTGACAAGTTATTTTCAAATTATTGAAATTCCTGTTAGATCCTACAATTCTCATGTTGTCACACGATTAATTCCTCTACATGTTACTTATATATACTCTTAATTTGAGGAATTAATTTCTAATAGTTATATTTAGATATTTGAATTAATTTCTAATAGTCATATTTAGATATTTATCCCACAAATCTTCAATAATTCCATTATTAGTTTGCTAAATCTTTCGAATTTGGTCTCAAATTGACAAGTTATTTTCAAATTTTGAAATTAGATCCTACAATTCTCATGTTGTCACACGTTAATTCCTCTACATGTTACTTATACTCTTAATTTGAGGAATTAATTTCTAATAGTTATATTTAGATATTTGAATTAATTTTTGTTGATGTACTAGTGATCACACAGTCAATTGGATCCAGTATAGGATCAATTTGTTCAGTATTGAAGATTGATGAGGGGATTGCCTCCTTCTCCGACTTTATGTCTGGTTCTTGAATTGGGGAAATGAGTTGTCTGCACATGTAAAAACTTGTAAGAGGATGACGATAGGTTCCCCCGTTGTACCTTCGACGATCAAGTTAGATGGTAAACTTGAGTGGAAGAAAAAGCAGAACTTAAGAGTTCTCCTCTTTTTTGGAATAGCCCTTTAAAAGGCGAATAGTACATGTATATGTATTGTAAGAGAATGGTAGATTGGACACTTTAGCCGAGTACCGAGAAGTGATGGCGATGTATGGGCTGGGGGCTACATCAGCACCCGCTTTACCGGTGTTGGCTGGCGACTGGAGGGAGGATCTCCTCAGTATTAAATGAGAAGACAGAGTGAGTATGAGTCGGTAGCTGCGTCAGCACCCACTTTACGAGTGTCAGTAGGTGGTTAGGGAAAAGATCACTTCAGCAATAGAGAGATCGTCTCAGCATCGAATGGAAAGTGATCGACGGCGTGGTAGAGCCCATGTGATATGACGAGTCATGAAGACTATCAGGGTTAGGGTCATGATGGGACCTATCCAATGTTGACCACGGTGCTGGCACATGGTCGGAGGGAGAAGTCTGAGGTAGATATTATCCTCCGGTTTTGTCGAGAAGTAACGCCCACCGAGTCGTCCTCGTAGGGCATTGAATAAAAGGTCGAGTGGGCTCCAGGTGAGTCGGCTTTGACAAGAGGGTCGACTGATCCTAACTCTTGAGTCGTCATGAAGAGTATTGACTTGATGAGTCGGTCAAGTGGGGATCTCCGCTGGGCTTGGGCTACCAAGCTGGTTGGGATCTTGCTTACAGAAATACACACGTCCGTTGTTTGGCAAGTTGTATTTTGGCGAATGGAAATACCATAACAGTTGGCCCATTTCGCTTGGAGTCGGCTTTAGCCGGGTCCGAATAAAATATGATAAAGAATCACTCTGGAATTGCTTCTCTGTGTTGCATAATCTCATAATGTTTGTTGGATGACTTAGTTTCCATGTGGACTGGTAGATTTAAGCATTAACCCGAGAGGACTCATCCTCTATAGAGATGAGACGTCTCGAACTTGAGTAAGTAAGCTTTCGAAGGATTAAATTTTTCTAAGTCTTAGGCTAATCTGATCAACTGCTCTTACTACTTAGTATCTAAGCAACTTGGATGAGTTGTCCGAGAGATATCCTTAAAGTCAACTTGTCGGTTGTGGCGGGTCGATTAGGGCCCTGTAGACTTTGCCTAGAGGACATTGTTTAGCGAACTTCCAGAGGCCTTTATTGGGCCAACGAAACATCACTGCTGAGGATGACGTAATGATGTTGTCAGAGTAACCACGTCTTTCCGATTTTCGAGCAAAGAGGTATGGAGTAAATATGAACGTCGCTTCTAGTTTCGAACTAACCGTTTGAGATTTCGAAGTGAATCTCGCACGTTTATTTCGAAATGAGACAATTGTTCTAATTAATTCTCGTGCCCCTTTGGGATACTATAAATAGTTCGTTGGGGGCGAAAAAAGAATTCTTTATGAGTTATTGCCCAAAAAATCTTTAGCGCTTCTCTGAATTTCCGCAAGTTTACTTTGCAAACCAAATTCTTCAATGGCTTCCCCAGCTTCCACCGCAGGTCGCAATGATGAGAGGATTGCTCTTCTCTAGCAAATATGCTCGATGGTCTTGATAGGGATGCTTGAGCCATATTACAATTTTTCTGACATTCTAAGGGCTTTTACACTGGGGGCCCCGAGTATGAGCGAATCTGTGTATCACCGTGGCAGGGACTGCGCGCCGCTTTACCTTGCTCATCTTGAGCAGGGTCTACGAATGTCGTTTCATCCCTTTATTAGGGACGTCTGCATTGCTCTGGGGGTTTCCCCCTCTCAATTTACCTCTCATGCCATTGGGGTTCTGGTGGCCTTTGTTGTCATTTGTCATCGGGTTGGAGTCTCGCTGACCACACGGCTGCTAGGACATTGGATCGGCGTTGAATCGAAGAAAGAGGACACACGCTATTTTTTCCACTACCGTGGAAATATTAAGCTTGTGTCAGATGCTCTAAAGTCCAGCAGGGATTAGAAGGAGCACTTTGTGTGGGTCTTCGGGGCTGATGGCGTTCTTGCTTGCCCCAATTAGCCCAAAGGGGCTAAGGATGTGCTGAGGTTGTGTCCTCTTGATGATGAGGAAAGGTGACAACTGGCAAAATTCGCTCCTCTGTCGGGTCCCGGGAGAGGAGCAATCTTTTCGAGATAACATCTCTTCGGTCGGCGGGCATGTCCATGATTTTGTCCTCCTCAGTCGACCAAGCAAGGGCAAGTCTGCTAGCTCTCCCCCTCGAAAAAAGCATTAAGAGGAATTCGAGGGAGGAATCAAGCTTGGCTTCTTGGCCTTAGAAAAGGTTGAGAAAGGATCTCGATCCCTCAGAGGCGACCGGCTTGAGTCGAGTCGCCGCCCTACTGGCTGAGTGGAGGCCGAAGAAGGTGAAGGCTAAGAAGGATCAAGGATCTAGTGGGCCAAAGGTCGACCCGGATGAGATATAACGATTAGCTGAAGCGTCGTAACCGGTCAAGAGGTGGCAGAGGTCTGTCCAAGCTTATCGACAGAATGGGGTTGACACCGTGGGCGACCCTTCCCCTCTTGCAGTAGAGGGGGTGGCCCCAACTGTCGAGGAGGTAGTTGTGGGAGCCCCTGTCGAGAGGATAGTCGGGCCAAGTTCTGCGGTCGTATAATTCTGCAAGCCTGGCAAGGAGCCTGTCGGGACGTCCGCGGGTGTTGACGATCAAATGACACCTCCGGAGGGGCCTGAGTTGGATGAGATGGCTGATGTGCGGAGTAAGTTCTGGTCATTCTGCTATGGGCTCGATGAGCTTACTCACAGGTCCTAGGAGAGGGCGAGGACCATGTTGGTGGGAGATCCGTTAACCCCCGGCTCGCCTAGGGAAGAGGTTCTCGAAGGTGATAGGTTTATCCTGGAGGAACCCATGGATGTGGAGTCCTCGGTCATGCAGTCCTTAACTGCTTCTTTCGACGTTGTGTCCCAGTTTACCCTCCCGAAGGACAAGAGGCTCTTGAGGGAGATACCAAGTGTTGGCCTACATTTGGCCCTCAAGGCCTATTTAGTCCGAGGGGTTTTACTAGGGCAGGAGCTGTTCGAGCGGATGAGGCACGTGCATGAGGTGGCACAGAGGTGGCACGGCGAACTGGCTCAAAAGAAGTCAGGCAAGGAAGAGGCAGAGAAGAGGATTGTTGCCTTAGAGGCCGAATTAAGAGGTAGGGAGGACGTCTGACGGCGAGAGCTGGTCGAAAAGGAGAGGCTTTTGATGTGCTACAGAATCCAAGTTTCCAAGCACTTGGGTTTTGTTGATGATATCCAGCGAGAGGTAGCCCACTTGAAGGGAGAGGTCGGTCATCTGCAGCAAGGGATTTCTAAGCAGGATGGCCGGCTGACCGCTTTGGCTAGGGAGGTTGAGTCCGAGAGGCGCCTGAAGGCGGCAACTAAGGAGGACACTAAATCGAGCCGTCTTTTGGTCGAGCAGTTGAGGCGGGACCTTGAAGAGGA